CCCCATTCCACTCCCAGTGCCCCCCATTCCGCTCCCAGTGCTCCCAGTGCCCCCCATTCCGTTCCCAGTGCTCCCAGTCCGTCTCCCCACAGGCTTTCTGGACCCGTTTCTTCCCGGCCTTTCAGCGGCTCCGGGCTCTGGTGGCCGAGGGGGCTTTGGGGACCCCCCTCCTGTTCCGGGGGTCCCTGGGCTTCAACCTGGTGCGGGTGGAGCGGCTGCGGGAGCCGGCACTGGGCGGGGGGGCCCTGCTGGACCTGGGCTGCTATGGGGTGCAGATGGCACTGGCCCTGATGGGGGGCTCCCCCAAAGCCCTGTGGGCCCACGGCGTCCTGCACCCCACTGGTGAGGGACTGGGAGGGACTGGGAGGGAGGGAGACATCCTGCACCCTACCAGTGACGGACTGGAAGGGACTGGGAGGGACTGGGGGGCACTGGGAGGGCATTGGGAGGGCCTGGGAGGGAGGGAGACATCCTGCACCCCACTGGTACAGACTGGGGGGCACTGGGAGGGGTGGGAGGGAACTGGGGGTCCCAGGGGGGCAGGGGAGTTGTTTCAAGTCTGAGGGGACGCTGCTGGAATTTGGGGGGGGGGCTCGGGGGGTCGCAGGGCCCCTGTGGGGTCCCCCCCAACATTCCCGGGGTCCCCCAGGGGTGGACGAGTCGGTGACGGTGACGATGGATTTCGGGGGTCAGCGCCTGGCCACGATCACCTGCTCCATGGCCGCGGAACTGCCCGGGGGGGCCGCCCTGGGGGGCACCAAGGGCTGGGCACAGGTGGGTCTGGGGGGGGAAAGGACCCCAAAAACTGCCCTGGGGGGCACCAAGGGCTGGGCACAGGTGGGTCTGCGGGGGGAAAGGACCCCAAAAACTGCCCTGGGGGGCACCAAGGGCTGGGCACAGGTGGGTCTGCGGGGGGAAAGGACCCCAAAAACTGCCCTGGGGGGCACCAAGGGCTGGGCACAGGTGGGTCTGGGGGTCCCTGGGATGAAGGGGGGGAGGGAGAACCACCCTAAAAGTGTCCCCTGGGGGGGTCCCAAACCCCCCGATCCTCGAGGTGGGGATGGGGAGGGG